ATTAGAGTGATTTCTGAAGGATTGTGTGACACTGAAGACTGGAGTAATGGCTTCTGAATATTCAGCTTTGCCATCACAGGAATAAATTACATTTTCCTTTTTACTGTATTTTTGATCAAATAAATGCAGCCTTGTTGAACATCAGAGACTTCTTTCAAAAACTAAAAAAATCTTACCAACCCCAAACTTTTGATTGTTAGTGTGTATACTGTATAATAATAATAATAAACTATAAAACTTAATTTAAATCTAGATTTTTTTTTGCAAATCATAAAGTACTTGCAATTTACTGTAATTAATTATTCTGCAATTATGTAATGAAGATTCAGTGTTGATTCAGTGTCAGCAAACAATGGCACAAAACACTAGACTAACATGCAATGTAAGAAAAGATAAACTGTTCAAAGAAAGGCTGGGTAAGCGAGAGAACAGGTTTTACTGTGGGAATTCAGATTTTTCACTTTAAAAATATATAAATGCTGGTTTCTTACATGTACACAATTCCACATGTTGGTGTTAAAACTTCAGTTTTCAAAGTGTGTAAATATAGAATTAGGATTGTTCAGGTTTTGTGGTATGGACCAATCACTACAGTCTTTGGCAGTGTAATAACAGCACAAAAACAGACAAAACTCTTTCAATAAATAGGACTAATATGTCAGTTCATTAAAACAAATAAAATTCACTTAGTACCAACTAAAACACGAAAGCAGTTCTGCATTAATAAAAAGACTATAACAGCAGCGATTAAAGCATGTGAATGAAAGTCATTCTCATTTCTGGCAAACTATCATGAGGCCCTGAACTAACAACACTTACAAAAAAAAGTACAATCTCTTGTGCAACAAGGAGGTGTTTTCAAGCTTCTGTAAACTTCCTAATTTCAGCTCAGGGATGCCTGGAAGGAAACATCAATTTGAAGACATATGACTAGCTCGAGAACAACTGGAGCCAATTAGGGTGGTAGCAGTACTATCTAAAGAAATTCAAAGAAGAATTTGCATTGGTACTTCCAGCTGGATCACATGGGACCGTCGATTGAAGATGCTTATTCCAACAGCAGACACTCTGCTGTATCAGAAGCTTTTGCACATAATCACACACAGATGTCAAATATTTCCTTGCTCATAATTAAAAAGAAGTTCAAAAAGTACTTGCTCATGCAAACTGCAAGTCTCAGCAAAGCTGTACGAGCTGCCGACTCGGGCAAATACTGATTATACATCTTAACTAATCAGATACGCAGACCCACATATAAACAATGCTAAATGTAACCAGAGTAAAACAAGCTTATAAAATAAATAGAAATTAGCAAAAAAAACTTCACACCTACATATGTCCCATTGTCATTATATCAACTATTGATACAAGCTGTGATTTACAAATTTAACATTAGTTGGATACAGTGTTTCGGCATTTTGATACATAAAACCTTGAGGTGCAGCATCAATGCTTTTTAGAGTCCAACTAAAATGTTTCACACGATATAGCGTCCGACAACACGCAAACCGAGAAGGCAAAGGTATGCTGTACGGAGATCAGTCTTACCAAACGAGACAATGACAGGCTGTAACACCACACTGCCTTTAGCTCTGCCCGACAACATTTACACACAACCAAACAGACCCCAGTACGAACAGAAAGACACATATTAAGGCCATTTTGTATTAAATGTGGTAGGCTAACTCTTCTAGAGACCGACCACACATCCGGAGTTAAAGTCTAATAATCATCGAACACATAGTAAACATTATCTCTCTCTCTCCTGTTTCTGCGACACTATCTCTCTCTCTCTCTCTCTCTCACACACACACACACACA